GTCGATGCAATAATCTTCTTTCGAAATTCTCCAAAAGATAATGAAAAAACGAAACAAGAAAAACAGAAACATAACCAGAACAAAGCCAGTTGTTTGGCAAATTATCAAGTTTTTGTTTTTTTAGCAAATTGTTTATAACGAAAGTAATTAACAAAAATCACATAGAATTGAGATTTTGTTGTCGTCACTTTTCTTGGAGATGAATTCAATTCTAAATATGGTGTGAGTAATTAATTGCTTCTTGTCTTTTTTAGCAATGAACGAGCCAAAAAATAGCTTTTTCAAAATCTGGATGATAGGAGGAGACTTATAATAATCCTAGTTAACACGAATAAATCAATCCCTGCTATGAACAACAACAGATTTGTATAATGCAATTTAATGCAGAAATCTCATTATATTTCATATAAACATAGCTTACAGGTTATAGCCACAGAAAAATGAATTGGCTGTACATTTACATTTAAAGTTTTTAGTCGATTAATGGTTCCCTTATGAATAATTTTAGGTATTTTGAAATTGTTGTCATATATTTCTCACTAGGCTTTTTGATGAAACATGAAATTTGAATGTCCACATTACTAATTACAATGTGACAAAACTCAACACTTGCCCTTCATATAACGATTTTAATAAATTCCCCTCACTTGGAAGGTCCGAATGTATCGATGTTTTTTTTTAATGTGTTGTATGTATTCGCCTGAACGGTTGCAATATTTTTAAAACGCAAAATGTCGTTTTGAAAAGTTGAAAACAACAAAGCATCGTAAATATATTTATTACGTAGGTGTTTCAATGCTAAGCCGAGATTTTGAATATTAATTGAAATTAAAGAAGACGAAACAAGTGTTGAAGTATTTTGTGTAGAAATAAATTTATTTTTATTAAATGCTCACTGGAGTCTAGAGACTTGTTTGAATAGAATGAAATATTTTATTATTTTTGTAATTTCAATAAAAGTCACCAAACTGAATAAAATATTAAAACAGCGTTTTTTAATGAAGGCATCATTCGATAATGTGTAGACATTGTTTTGGAGGCGTTTTTTTGTAGACTTTCAATGTTATGAGATTTATAATAAATTGATCGTATTCAATGGTTCTAAAATTAATTTTTTTGAATATTTTTATAAAGTATGTCTAAATACTGGTTTAGTACCATTTTAATTTTTTGTTGCAACTTACCAGAAACCACATCGATTTTTTTAAACTACAACGTCCCCAATCCTTAAATTCTAGATTCTAGCTTTACTCGAATATACTTGTACTCTTATTGTACTAAATTGTGCACAATATAATACTTTCTGTATACATATAAATACCAGCCTCCCTATCACAACCCTATATGCAAGGAGGTGCTCTTCAACTTCTATATTTCCAAATTCCCTTCCCCTCCAGTTGGTATTAAACTCGTTACATACGCTGATACGATTCGTTCCATGCCTCTGACGTAGATGTAGCGGAAATCTGAGGCAAAATCAACTCGTACTTATCCTCTTAGAAACTTGCAGATTTTTACATCTAAATCAACAGCCACTATCTTCACATCGTGGACACGTGGATGTGTCCAGATGATCCAACCTACAACATAATGTGTTTCTCGCCAGACAGTTCAGTTCACCATATAGTGGTTCAGGATCTATCCTCTCGTCACATCCGGAAGGATATCAAGCGATACAGCAACGACATCCAGGAAGTCATTCCATCTGATATCGACCTATTGCCCAGAAGAACCAGAACCATCATAGCGCAGCTTCGGTCAGTATTGTCAGTCATCCTAAATGTGTATCAAGGAAGAGTTGCCGGGATCGAAGACATCTGTCCCAATTGCAATCACTCCACACATAAACCAACAACCTTCCATCATTTTCGACATACACTCACCATCCACATTCAATCCTGCATCCAACATCTGATTCCATTTACAAACAAATAGTAGACACATGTTCAAAATAAAAAGCATTGAACTATTTCAGGGAAAACGAGTCAGCCAAACTGTTACAACTACAGTTATCCGTATGCCAAATTACCTCCATTAGTTCACCCAATATCAATGGCAACGAATTTAGTACTTTTGGTACCCATTTCTGATGATCATTTAGATTTCTGAAACTACCTGTTCACCCAATACAAATGTGACAATTTTGAGTAGTTATACCCTACACAATTATGTTGTCAGGGTATTATAGCTTTGTGCAGGCCCAAGAGTATATATACCGATCGTCATATCTCGAATAGCTGAGTCGATCTAGACATGTATGTCCGTGCGTCGATACAGGCCACAGTTATTGACCAATCTTCACGAAATTTTGCATATAGGATGGCTCTGGCCAATGAAGATCGCTATTGTTTTTTGTAAAGATCGGTCAATATTTAGGGGATGAAATAAACCAAATACTTTATTTGCGTGTAATTTTCTGGTCGTTCCAGAGGTCGCAATTAGGCCCAAAATTTTCCATGAGAGTCCAGGTATGTTCAAGGACAACGCCTATAATTTCCGATGATGATCAGATAATAATTTTTGGATGAAATGGACCGAAATCTTAATTTTTTGTGTTTTTTTCTCGAGTCGATCTATAGGCCACAATTGAAAGCCGAACATCACAACACAACCCACGGTGAAAGGAAACTGGACAAGTAATTAAAAGGGCTGAACTGAATATTAGTAATATTCGGAAAATATATCAGTGTAAGGAAGAGGTGCTGTTGTCCTCTAATCGGGCAAGAATGTGCAACTATCACGAAATATTGTCCAGGCTCGGAATAAACATCCGCAGAAAGTTACAGTTCCGTAGTAGTTGTGTAGTGTATTGTATGGTCGTTCCCGTCCGACTATACTGCTCCGCTCACTGGTTTTTAATTCTCTTCGTATGTTTAGAGTAAAAATTTCTCCAAAAATCTTCTGTTCATTGTTCAAGACCACATGCTACATTTCCGAATTTTACGCGTTGTGTCATGGAGCAGTATTTAATTATTACTTATTAGTACTAGATTTTTTTTATTTACTTATTTTTTTGTGACCCATCCTTGAAAAACAGCCTGCCGCTTATAACGCCACACTTGTAGAATAATAAATATGTATAAATTCGCTTCCTTCACCCCAATGTACTCAATAAATTCCACAGATTTTGTGAACAAAAAAATCGAACCAAACAATCCGACAAAGCGTGGGTGTGACTTGGTCCATATGCCTATAATTGGTTTAAATAACAAACAAACAAAACATTTATCTTCGATTTTGAGTTGTGGTATGTAGGCTATTACCAGCGATGAAGGCTTCATCGTTTTGCCTTGCCATGTCTTTTGTTTTGCATTTGATTCATGTGTTCGGAAAAGTGTGGCTTCATTCTTCCACATCATCATATCTATTTTTTTCGTTCTTCGTGAACTACATTTATGTTAGTTGTTGCCGTTCTTCGTCGTCGACGTCCAAATATCTTGAAATATGAAATGTTTTGTAATGCAACGAAAACAACAGACGGACGAATGGATGGGCAGACGGAGGAATGGATGGGCAGACGGGCGGACGGTCGAACGTACGGGCATATGGACATTATGAGATTGGCACGCACGCAAAACGCGACTAAAACGAATTGTAGACATTCCGTCAGTCAGTCAGTGAGTCCGTCACCATGAAATAAAATACTTGTGTGTTTCCCTCTATGTTGTTATTATTTTTATTTTCTTCTTGTTGTTGTACTTATATCACGAATGCATGTAAGATGAATATGAACTGAATGGCAATACCGCAGAAAACAAAAAAACAAACAAAAATATGCCAATGTTGGAGGATGAATGCACTTGGCTTTGGCTTTGAGAGTTCACCGCACAAAAATAGTATGCCTTAATGGTGGTAATGTGGGCATATCGTACATACAACAAGCATGCATGATGCATATATCATCCGACCATCAACCAATCCATCCATTCAACCATCTACGGACGGGCTGACTCCTCTACTCATGACAGTGAAGGTATGTGCGAAGAGTAGGCGTTTTTAACTGTGTTACCGCACAGTTGCACTGCTTACAGCTTTGCAATGGAGGCGCTCACCATTTGCCAAGATTGGTTTTTGTTTTTATGTAAATTAATTTTGGTTTTCATCTGGTTTCATATTAAAAAAAAATAATGACGAAGTACAAAATATGGTTTTTAAAATCAACAAAGCTTGGACTTTTTGTTATATATTTAAGGGGATTTTTTAAATAAACGGTTTGGTGATTCATGTGAGGTTTTGTAATCTAAAAATTTGGTTTTTAATTTGTATGCGATTTGACCCAGTAAAATAGAGATTTTAGACTCACTTCGAAATATTATTAACAAATCTTCTCATCTTTTTTCTTGTATTTTCCCGATAAAACACTAAAAAATCCCTAACCTAGTTTTTCTATGAAATTGTAAACCGAGTGGGCCTTGTGTGTCAATAAAGTGGTGCATAATATTAATAAAGCTGAAGCTCTCGTCCTTTTTGTAAACACCACCACCTATTAAGCCGATTGAAAACAAATCGTCGATTTAAGAAGTAATGACAATATTAGTCATAAATTATTTATTGTTTAATTGAGCAGAAGTCCATTTAAAAATATACAGCTTAATGAATTCCGATTTTATTACTCGGACTTAAACGCATTTACCACTTACCTTCATATGGTGGGATTGAACTATTTCTTTTTTCGTTTCTTTTTTTGCGGCTTAAATGATTTTCCATTTAAGACCCTCTTCGAAATGTACAAATCGAACAAAGCAAACAAAACTGGCTTTTTCACATTGTTTATTTACAATTAAGCAGTAATTAATTATTATTTTACCTATATCGATGTACGTTTTTTGTTTGCCTTTTAGGTGTGTTATCGAGTAGACGACCACTTTTTCAGTCAGCCAGGCTGTTAGTATGTCTGTGTGTTATTAGCCACATAGCATGTCTTGAATATTAAAATTGTTTTACACTCTTGTTAATGATGTCGTCTTAAATTGTTGTGTTTTCTTTCTTTTTGCAGTAACCGCTATTGTCGAATATGATTATACGGCCAAGGAGCCGGATGAACTTGATCTTGTGAAAGATGCAATAATACACAGTATTAAACAAATGCCCGGCGGATGGTGGGAAGGTACTCTACAGTCGTCTGGCAAAACCGGAATGTTTCCCGATAATTTTGTACGTGTCGTCGATATGAATGAGGATAATACTGTCGTGCTAAGGTGAGTAATATAAATACTGTACAGAATGTATCGAAAATACTAATTTTTTCATTAAGGTCATTGCTGGGGCAAGGTATCAAATAAACAGAAGAATGTGCACTTTAAACTTCATGTCGGCTCTTACAAATATAGCTGCCGCAAATTTCATGTTTTCAATTTCAATTTCATTTCATTTCATTTATTTCATACAATGTAATATAAAAAAGCCAGCATGGCCAATAACTTATATTAACTTATATATAAAAAAAAAAATAAAAACCCAAACAAAGAATAAACTAAATAAATTAAAAATACATAACAGCAAAAAACAAAATTCTACATAATGAAATTTAATGCAAACCGCTAACATAACAGATTCCAAACAAGAACCCCAATCCACTGCACTCTACTTAACTGTTGCTAAGAAAAGTGGAGGGGAAAGGAAGCTTAAGGAACCATACATATAAATATACTATATATTCCTCTCGAGCCCAAGAGCAATATCAGAACCACAGACATTAAATTCCATATGTATAAATCTATAACATAAATGCTAACGAACTTAAATAAAAATGGCTCCCCAGCCAAAAATTAAAAAAAAAAGACAAAGTACCATTATGCAACCTGTAATCAGCGATTTCTTCAAAGCCAGCTTCATCAAATACGAGACAAATGCCCAAACAATTCCCTCCTATACGCAAAAGTGGAAGAGGTAAACTTACGAAGGCTCAAAGGGAGCTGATTCCACGATCTTACGACTCTAACTACAAATGATCTTTCACAAATTGCAGACGAAAACCTCGGATACAACAACTGAGGGTTCCGAGAGGATCTACACATCACAAACCTACTACACAGTGGTAAATCAACATTTCTCATAATTCTATAATAACACAAAAGGATACGATATTCAACATAAGTATAAAAGGATAGGCCAAGAAATTTAACAACAAATTGGGAAACATGATGACTACGACCCAAACCATATACATAACGAACAATGGAGTTAACAACCTTTTGGAGCCGATGCAAATGACCAGAATTAGAGCCCGAAATAACCTCCAAACAATAGTTAACCTGAGACATCAACAACGACATAGCTACCTTCACCCTAACACCAAGAGGCAAATATGCTTGGACACTATAAAGCCTCCTAAGCTGGAATCGCACACGGGACAACAGAAGATCAATGTGGGTCGAAAAACTAAGTTTGGCATCAATAATTACACCCAGGCACTTCATTTCACCAACAATATTAATAGTAAAGGAACTAACGCAAATATTAGGCATAGAACCGTCATAACAACAATTGAACAAAACAGCTTCAGTCTTATCCCAGTTTATATCAAGACCATTGGAAGAGATCCACATAGAGAGAGATTGCAACGTTGTGTTAGCAAGATTCTCCAACCTGGCGAGATCAGCACTCCTAAAGAATACATGTATGTCATCCGCATACAAGAAGAGACTACAATCACTAGCAGTAACAGAATCCATGATGTCATTAATGAACATAATAAAAAGTAATGGGCCCAGTACAGAACCCTGCGGGACTCCACACCGGATTAGACCAACATCAGATTGGACACCCTTGTGCACAACAAACTGGGATCTACACTCCAGATACGACGAAATTAGTCTACAGGCCGAAACGGAAAATCCAAATTTGACTCTAAGCTTGCGAATAAGCAGCGCGTGGTCAATTGAATCAAAGGCCTTAGACAAATCAAGACCAACAAGAAGACCAACATCAGAACCATCAAAAACATCACGAATAACATCAGTAAGGGATAATAAGTGTACCGTAGTACTGCAGCCACGCTGAAAACCATACTGAGAACTACTCAGGCATTTGTGATCACCAAGAAACTCCAAAATAGCATCTTTAATAATATGCTCAACTATCTTAGACATGGCCGGCAATACACTTATTGGACGCAAGTTAGACTGACTGTATGAAGACCCTTTCTTCGGAACAGGCACCACACGAGCCACCTTCCAAGCTTGCGGGAAGGATGACGTCATAAAAATACAATTAACAAAATGCAAAAAGTGAACAGATATGTATGGAAAAACACTCTTAAAAAATTTAATAGGAATGCCATCAAAACCTACAGCTCCAGACTTAATTTTGCGGAGAGCACTTTCAACATCCTCCATAAACACGCAGTAAAACCTAAATGACTCTCGAACCAAGGCACCATCAATTCCTACACTCACACCAGGATTAGATTTGCCAACATTACAAAAGTAATCATTAACAGTATTAACATCAATAAAAGGAACATCATCACCACAATCCAGACAACCAAAGGACCTAAGAGACTTCCATAATTGACTACTGTTCATACGACCGAACAACTTTCCATAATATTTTCTTCTTTCATTACGCATAACAGCCTTGCAACGATTTCTGCAGATACAATATATACGTCTATTGTCATCAGTAGGCCTTCTGCGCCATTCAAAGTAAGCTAAATCCCGAATCGAACGAGCTGACTTCACAACATCAGAATTCAACCACTCATCATTTTTGGGGCTAATATGACGAGTAGCAAGAGGAACAAAAGACAGCAAACTCTGAAATAACGTCTCAAACAAGGCCAGTTGGCTGTTTACGTTACTGGTGAGATACAGAGGAGAAAAATCAAAATTAAACACAAAATCACAAATACCGACCCAATCCGCATTACAAAAATCAAGATACTCGATTACCTTCTCTTCAGCAACTACAGGCAAATCAATCATCCCAAAGATAAGCGCATGGCGAGATATGCTAGGGCATTGCCCCTGCGAGGAAAAGCCCAGCCGCATGGGATCACTGATCAAACAATAGTCAATCAGCGAGGTAGAACTATGAGCAAGATCAAAGTGCGTAGGCTTGGAATTGTGGACAATAGAAAGCCCAAGAGACCTACATATGCCCCGCATCAACGTAGATTTCGAAGAATTAAATAAGTTACAATTAAAATCACCACAGACAAACACATTTGCATATGAATCAAAAATACCCTCATGAATGCTACGAAAGGAATCTACATCTCCATGCGGCAGGTATACAACGGCAACAAGCAACGTATATGCACCGAAACACAGCTCGACGCACAAAGACTCGCATACACCATAATGATCCGATTTAAAAACCACCTTATATGACAATCTGTCACATACATACAACATAACACCGCCACCTACACGTCCAATGCGGTCACTACGAAGAGCCTTATAGCCAGGAACTCTCAATGACCTCGATGAGACAGCTGAGTTAAGCCAAGACTCAGTCACACCAAAAAAATCAATTCCACTGCCAACAAGTAGACACTTTATCTCATCCAATTTGTTATTGAATCTAGACGGACGAATGCTTTGACAGTTCAAATGGGCATACGTAAGCTTACCATCACCACAATGAATGTTCTGCGTAAAGAATTGAGCATCGCTAATTACAGGCCCTAGATTCACATCAGGGCACATAAAAATTAAATAAGAGACTGGGGAGCATAATTATTAAAGTTCGATTAAACATTGAATGCATATCAAAATAATAATAAAAGAATAACAAATTAAACAATAAAGAATATACCAATTCAAAAAAATAAAATAATTGTTTTAAGAAAAATAATATTAAAATTCAGAAAAATGAGATCAACAATTATAAATATACATCACATGGCTATGTAACAGGAAACTGCACCGCCCCACAATCATTATCCAATACATTCCGCATCTGCGAATCTCGGGATCGATTGGCAAAATTAATAAGTTCCTGCTGCTCGAACCTAGTTTTCGTTCCATCAGGAAGAAGAACTTCAACCAAGGGCTGATCACCGTTAAGCAGCTTAAATTTCCTAATATGCTTCCTTTTAAGCAAATCTCTACAGGCATAGATAAGTTTGGAGGTCGACTTAATTAAGTGATCATTTATAAACACTCGAGACTCCACAATGCAATTCTCAATTACTTCCTTCAGAAGAATACGACCCTTTTTAGAGTAATTACGCATCAGTGAATCTCTATCCTGCACAGAGTTAAATTTCACCAACACCGCTCTACGGTCAGATATGTAACAACAGTGCTGCAAATCTCTAGGCACCAGTTGCATCCCACAAACCTTAGCAATATTTACAGTTAGCGCTCTAAGGTCTTTTATATTGTCCGGCAATCCTCTAATAATGACATTCGATCGATTCAGTCTGCGCTGGAGCATAGCATTATATAATTCCAATTCATGGACTCTGTCTATTAACTTCTTTTCCACACTAATAGAAGTGTTTTTCATTTCACTGACAGTTAACTTAAGATCACAAACGGACTGCTTCAGCTCAGTGATATTGCTCTTCACCTCAGAGAATTCAGCACTGTACAATTCAAAAAGAGCATCTGTTTGGGATTTAAACTCCTGCATACACTGTGCCATGTAAGCATCCATCTTTAGTTTCATGGTAGATAACATATCATTCTGCAAACTACGTAAGGCATCCGCATTAACAAGTGCAACACCATTATCAACAGAAGCACTAGAAACAGGCATCACACCAGCAACCGAACTAACACTAGCGCCATGATCAACAACACCAGCCACACCATCACCACCAGAAGCACGGATACATGTAATGCACGTATATCTCAGAGCCTTATTAACTCGAGCCTCACTTTCAGATACACCCACACAATCCAAGTGGAAGTAATTTGCACAGCCGGTGCATCCAATTTTGTATTTAGATTTTGCAATATGTTCATTGCAGACATTGCAAATACACTGCGACGGCATCTTCAGCAAAATAAACGCCAAAAAAACTGCAGCAACACGGAAAACCCAGCCAGAAAACACTTCAAGGATCACCAAGAATATATTGCTACTTAAATATAGCCAGGAACAACCGAATAAAACTCAAATTTCAAAACTTAAATTATTTTCCTTAAGAGCGCCAGAATTTATAGACTATCCATGTAGGGATCACAAACTCGAAAAAATTGTGGTTACGCTGAAGGTGCTAATTTTATTTTATTCAATAGATTCC